TTAGCTTCCAGGATATTTCAAGAGTGCTAGCAGCTCTGGGTGGCTCCCCAGGAACACTGAGGGTATATACTTACCTGTACCTGCACAATCTTCTTTAGATAGTGACCAGGATGAAGGTAAATATCTTATGACGTGCTAGCAGCTCTGGGTGGCTCCCCAGGATCACTGAGGGTGTATACTTACCTGTACCTGCACAGTCTTTAGATAGTGACCAGGATGAAGGCAAATATCTATGGTCACCACAGTCTCCTGTCTGGTATGGAACTGATCCACTATCAACAAAAGAAAGAGCTTCCTTTTGGCCAGTATCTTGGGATCCTGATCAACATAGAAAAGAAAGAGGCTTTTCCTCTTGCAGGAATATCACCTTAATCTTATATCCTTGAACCACCATAAGGGAATGGATCCCTCATGAGACTGTTGAAGCTCTTTGGGGTAATGATCTCAGCATTTAACTCAGTGCCTTGTGCTTCCTTCCGCTCCCGCTACCTTCAGTGGATGGTACTTGTCACAAAAGGTCACTACCACTCAGTAGATTTATCTCACTTTAATAGTGCTGGCCTTGGTTCTGCAATTTTTGCGAAATGGGAGAACAATTATCATCTGTCAGAGAGAGGTTCTCCAAGAGAGTTCATGCAGGTCCAGGTTGCCATGGATGACCGTTGGGGGCCCACAGTTTTAGCTGCTGTGCAGGGCCTCTGAAGTGAAAAGAGTACTAAGATAATCCTCTGGTTCAAAGTTAGGCTGTCTCATTTGGCATTTCCAGTTTACCAGTATAATTTCAAGACAGGATCTGTTTCTGTGCACAAACGTGACTGTATGTGATCATAGATCCATGAAGTTTAAAGACTGTCTGCTATTTGTTTCTCCTGATCTATCCCTCATCTTCACGCTGGTGAATAAGGTGTTGTTCCTGGTAGAGGACAGATTGGGGCAGTGACACTGGTGGTCCTGTACTTTCTGGGCCATCTGCTAAGAAGACAGTGTGGTCCACATACTACAGACGGGCTATTTTTTCTGGGTCCCTGACCATAGTGTGGAGGAGGTACACTGAAACCTTGATACAAGAGCCAGTTCTGAACTCAATTTCCAAAAGATGGCCTGCTGAACAGGGGTAGCAGTTTAGTTTTATGTTAATTTTATTGAATACAAGTATGTAGAAAAAACTGTAGAAACTACGTAGAGATTGAAGTTTCACCAAGTGTTTTCAGGTACTTGCAGCTGGTTGATTAAGATTCCATCAGCCATTTTCATTCTGTGGAGAAAATGGTAAAAATGGGTGGGAGGGTCTAAGCTCCATGGAAGCTGCAAGGAATTAGGGATGTGGTAATGTTTTGAAAGATACCCTATGCAGAATATTATGAGCAGAAACTACTCTACCCAAATCCTTACAGCTTTAACAGAGCTCAGCCCTGCCTACCCATTTCCCCAGTCTTCTCCATAGGACAAAATGGCTGCTAGTCTCAGTTAGCCAGTTATAAATGCTTGGAAACACCTGTCAGGACTTTGATGTCTTTAATCAAGGGCAACCCAGAATTCTAGCTGAGGGAATTCCTGCTGAATTCTGGAGGCTGAAATAAAAAAAATTAAAAAATGAGGAACCCATGCTTATCCTATTCCTCTCACCTGGAAGAAATCTCATTGAACAGAGACTTTTGAGGTGATGGTGTAAAAGGATTAGACTACAAGTACTTCTTGAAATTAGTTTCTTAAATATTAATTTATGATATCATTAGAGTAGATTAAACAGATTAAATGCATTTTTTACACTAGTGTATAATTGGCTGTTTTTCAGTAATTTTAAATTATATCATATACATGAGAAGATTTTATCGGTGTTACTCATTTTTAAATGTTAATGAATGTATTCTTTTTTACCAATGTAATCTTAATGCATTAATGCACAACACTAACATTTCATAGCTCTGCAAGATTTATTTAACCTTTATACAGCAAGATGAGAGGTTGTAGTCAAATTTTGTTGCAAATTTCAGTGAAGAGATTTTCATGCTAGACACTGTGTAATATTGTCACCTGACAAACATTAAACAAAATGTTCAAGTTTTAGCTACTAACAGATATCAAACCTCTGAAAGTAAGTTGTTCTGACAGGTCTGTTACTTTTTTCCTGTGAAGTATTTATTTGTTGTGATATAATTGCTTCTCTTTATTATTGATAAATTAGGGTGCCCATGAGCAGAAGTTATATACAGTGGGTTCGGCTTATTTAGAGGTGAAGGACTGTGGAATTTCCTGTTGGTTAAAATACAAAGGATGTAAACAGGTTCCTGATAAACTACACTGATATACTTATAAATCCTCACTAAGCCGCCTTTGGTCCTTCTGAGGAGAAAAGTGGGGTAAAAATATTTAAATAAATAAATAATAAATAAATTTGAATTTTAGTAGGGTCAGGAAGTAATCCAAACTAGTGCGCCTTTTTTTACAATAATGATATATAAGTATTAGTTGTCATCTCTTTTGTCAGAGTTCACTGGTTAGAGCAAGGAAGAACCCGCCATGGGCTGCACCACGCTCAAAAATATTGCCAGAAAAAGGAAATGCACAGCCAAAGCTGTAGGGAGTGCTACTGCCAATTTTGATTTGAGGGAGTTGTTGCAGGTCTTGGGGATAGCTCAGTTCCCTGTTTCTCCTAGAGGTCTGCAGAAGTGGAAGTAACCATTTGTTTTGCTTCGTTTTTCAAACATAATTTTTATGCTCACTGGCTTCAACCCCTTGTTAGAATATTATAGGAAATAATCTTTGTGTACAAATAGAGGCATTTCAGCACTAGCCATTGGGTTTGTTCTTGGATTTTTGCCAAAATGTATAGGTCCAAGGATCCTGACAGTAACATGCAGTGAACTTCCATTTCTGGGTAGAACTGAGCAAGCAGTCGACCTCGTTTTGTACAACAACAAATCTTTGACTGAATCTTTGTCTGGCCTTTCAGTAAACATGATAAAACATCTTTACAAGCTAGATTAGATTCAAATTGCATTTAAAACAATACCATAAAAGCTAAATTACTAAATGGAGATTGCAAACGATAAGGCATTGTCAGGAGCAAGATGAAAGTAAAGATTTTTTAAGTTGAATTTTTTAAAAAAAATCATCTGGCACTCAAAAGAGATCAGGATACATGCTGAAAAAACAGGTCAAAAGTGGGGCACTGTAGTGTCAAGGATTATCTAACTACTTGCCACCTGCCTCTGTGGCTAGTGAGGTAAAGCGGAGGGAACTGGTGCATCCACTGGTGGCAAAAGTACAAATGGGAGACTGAATCTGAAGATGTATAAAAATATTGGCAATGCAGATTTTTTTTCTTATCTAAATAGCTCAGGCTTGACATGTTTGGGCAGTGGCCTTCTTCAGGAGCTAAGCATAAAATAAAAATATGTATTAATTTAGAAACAGCTGGCTTGGGACAGTTTCTTATCTGCACAGTTAACAATATAAAATATTAGTAAATATGCACATAAGATCAATAAACTCCTAGTACAGCTTAATGACAGCATATAAGATACATACCAAGCTTTTAGAACTTTTGCTTCTTGTTTGAGCTATACCAGCTCCGACACTGATCCAAAGTGCAAATTCAGAAGGGATGGTATCTACTTATTCTCAGGGGCAGACAAGTTAAGGACAGTGAGATAATCAGCAAGGCAGTTGGGGTTGTTCTTTAGTAAGGGCAAGAAATCTATTTCTTCATTTAGGTCAAAAGGGGCTAAAGTGTTCAATCTCAATATTTAATCAATTTTCCTCCTCAGTAAGGAAGTCTCATACTTAACAGGAGCCATATCCACGACCCAGAGTATTAAATGTCTTATTGTGTGATTAAATTCTGTGAAGTGGCTGACAAGAGGATTACCCAGTCTTCTAGTTCTTAAATTATTCAGATGTTCTTCTATCCGTGGCTGGTGAGATCACTAGTGCATCAGTCACAATTTGTTGCTCTGCAAATCTTGGCAGAATTGCTGTACTATCACGTTAGTTTCAGTTATCTCATACTTAACTGGATGGGAAACATAACGTTCATAAAGCCTAATTCTTATCCTCCCCACTTTCCCCTGCTTTAAACTGAGGTTAGGGTTCTATGTGAATAAACTTCATAAAAATCCTACATTAGTATTCCAAGCTGTTTTGTTCTTATCTCTTATCCATCCCTAGAGGGGAGTTTGAGTTTAATGCATGAATGTTTAAAATTCCAAAAAACTCTGAGTGAGAGGATCCAAACAACTGCATCTTGTGACCCAGACCAAGTGGGGAAACATGTTAAAATGCTTTGGGCTACGGTTGAAAATAATCCTTTGCTTGTCAACTGGCAAAGCTTCTATAAAGTAGAAAAGCCAATCTCTCATTTTTCCATGACAGAATACGTAAAATAGAGAAGGCTCTCAACTGGTCAGATTACCTCCTTGTACATTTTTTAAAAAACTCAAGCCAAATGAGATTTAGAACTCAAAATTAAAAGGAAAAAGAATAGTGTGGGAATATGATGCAAGTACCAAGTGTTGCAATGGGTGGGCAACACAGATGCATTCCTGCCCCACTCATTTTGCTGGTGACTTGGCACAGAAGAGGTGAAAAACAGTTTTTACTTTAGAGCAACGTGCAGTAGGAGTACACATTTTATTTTTAAGCCAAGGTGTGATGTGCAAGGCATGATTCCATATAAAAACAAGGTGTCTGTTTTCCATACACCTCTCATTTAAATACTACTGTATTTCTAAAATTCAGAGGTTGGGTGAGACCTTCAGAGGATTCAAATGTGCCAGTGTGACCCTCCTGCCTGGAAGCTGCCCACTTTTGCTTTAAATATGCACTTATTTTGTTTTAACCTGAGCTGTTTGTGGCAAGAGTTGATCCGAGTTGGCAATGCTGACCAGGAAGGAATAATAAACACCAGTTATGCATCTGACTGTTGTATTGATGTACTTAAAGTATGCCAAATACTAAACTAGTGGGATGGTGCTACATAAAGAAAATTATTATTTTAGAAATAGTTACTCCCTTTACTGCGCCGAGCTGATGGCGAACATGAAAGATGTCCCAAGCACAGAACGGATGGTACTCTGCAGTCAGCAGTGGAAGCTTCTCTCTCAGAAAGAAAAGGATGCCTACCACAAAAAGTGCGATCAGGTGAGTACAGCCCTCGCATATCTGGGAGGGGGTTGTAAGTGTTGCTTGGGATAAATAGTGGACACGTTCCTGGTTTTGTATATTATTTGGAATTCAATTGTACACATACAGCTTTGCTGTGATACGACATTAGGTGTGAGATGTGACAGTATGGTGGTGCCATGTATTGATACGGCTGTCTTCCTCAGAGGCAGCTATCGTGGTTATAGATTTTCCCTCCTTACTTCATAGTTGTTCCTTTCTGCTTCACAGGCAAAGATGTGGCAGTTTATGTTTGTTTGTGGAGGGAGATCCCACCACATTTCGTTTCTGCTTTTGTGCCATGACAGCATGTCTTTTCTTCCTTTCTAAAATTCTGTCTCCTCAGAAAGGCTTAGTTTTCTGCATTCACTTAATTAGGTAGTGGCGGGAAGAGAGTCCCACCAACTTGATTCCTTTGCATTTTACATAGATCACCCATTTATCAAAGTGAATTGTGTCAGTTCATTGGGGTTTGGTGTTGATTGAGCTCATGTGCTTGTCAGTAATGAGTTACTTAAGAAGTGCATTCTCTTCAGCCTTATTTAATTACTACTGAATTAACTGATAGCTGTGTCTTATTTAAAATTCTCCGCCACCCAAGTTTCATTGTTAGACAGACATAAAGGGGAGAACAGGAAATTGCACATAGTGCAATGTTTCCAGTCTGAGTGAGTGAGAAAAAAGCCAAAGGGTTCAGTGAAAGGCACCAGTAAAATAAATTGAGTGAGGGCTTTCTAAGGGCTTTGGGCATTGTCTAGGCCTCCCAGTGCCTGGAGACCTCCACCCTCGCACCTTGATCCTGGCAATGGTAGTGGTGGTAATCTAGACATTGGGCCTTATGGCTCTTCTTTATTATTACTGCCAGAAGATCTGGTGGCCATTTTAGGCCTTTTGCAACACTGCTCAGCAGAGGCAACAGGAAATGGTGCTGGTTTTTTGTCCTTTTCATTGTTTTAACAAGTCTCCATTCCCACACGTCTCAGCCATACCTATTTTACTCACAGTGTCCCTGTCCCCATTATAGATTGCATGTTGCTTCTTCCTGATCTTTGTAGGTAGATTAAGAGGCTTGCTTTTAGTGATGTAAGGTCTCAACGTCAGACAGAATGCAGGTGGGGGAGAGTTCATAATAAACGAAGCATTTCAGAAACATTTCTCCTCTTCCTGACGCCTTGTTCCAAAACGGTGCTGCTTGCTCTGACCCCGTTCTCTAAAGAGCCAGTGTCCCCTAGTGGGGTCACTGGCTATCACATACTTGTCTAGCCAGACCAAATGGTTGTACATCTTTTGAACTTGGGAAATACTACATAAAATAAGTGAGAGCAATACTTTTATGATATAAGCTCAAAGCCATAGAATAAGGCGAAAGAGTTGGCCTTGGGGAAAAAAAATTAAGGCAACAGGACTACCTTTTCTTTTTTGTGCAAGATAAATATGAGGTAATCTTCCATAATTTCTGTATAAAGCAATTGGGAAAATTAAATGTATATGAGCATATTGTTGCAATATCATACTGTCTGAGCTTTCTTCCATCCAGTACACTTCTGTGAGGAGGGGAAGGGATATTAAGAGTTCCTGTCCTCAGGGTTCTTTGTAGTATCTTTAACAAAAGACATCTTTAACTGCTAATTGTCTGTTTCAAAAACCTTATCCGAACAGCCATAACTCAGAAGCAGAGCAGATCTGAGGTTCAGTTCCTGGCATCTCTAGGACTAGGAAAGACATGCCTCAAATCCCAGAGAACCACTTTTGGTCAACAACAAGAGCTAAACGGACCATTGCTTTAATTGTGAAAAAAGTAGTTATTCAATCCATATGATAGTTTAACTATTCCAAGTCTGAATGATCCCTTCCTTTGCCATCCAGTGGATAGAAAGATTTGTTTGTTAATATTTGTTTCTAGGCTGTTTGTACCATGCTTTTCAGACTAATTTTCCAAAGTGACTTAAGCTAAAATAAATATATTTTAAAATAAGATATACTGTTATATTTAAATATACTGTTAGATGTTAGAGAACTAAAATAATATGCAGTATCATTGAAACCCTTTGAATACAATAAAACTGTGGAGTCAAATCTAAAATTCTTTCCAGAATAAAAATATTTCAAGTACTGACTTGAAAACAGGAAGAAAATGATGCTTTTAAACCTTTTTTGGGAAAGATTTCCATAGTTGTATTAAGGCCCCAATCCTGCTTCTCACAACCCTGCTGTTTATTGAATGAAGGGCCGAAGAAATTCAGGCCTCTGATACTGATTTTAAAGGCTAGTCAGGTTTGTGTGGATGAAAAGGGTCAGGAAGATTACTTGATTACCGGCTATCTAGAGCACTGGTTCTTAACCTTTGTTACTCAGATGTTTTTGGACTGCAACTCCCAGAAGCCTTCACCATCAGCTCTGCTGGCTGAGGTTTCTGGGAGTTGCAGTTCAAAAACACCTGAGTAACAAAGGTTAAGAACCACTGACAATATTTAAGACAAGCTCAAATATTATTAACCTGAGCCCTGAAATAAACTAGTAACTTGTGCAGTTGATGTAGGATAGACGTACTGTATTATGATTCAATGCCAGGATCCTGATGGCTACATTTAGTACCAATTTAAGCTTCTAATCCATCCTCAAAAATGGCTGCACATAGAGAAAATTGAAATAGTCTATTATGAATATGACTAAGGTGTGAGTAATTAAGGCCAAACCCTCTTTCTCTGTAGAGTTGCAGCTACTGAATTGTCACAGGTAGTAAAATGTGTGCCTAGACAACAGTATTACCTGTGCAGTGAGGATAAAGTTGGATCCAGGAGCATTTCCATGCTGCATACTTGATTTTTCAAGGGAAGTGCTTCTATAACTACACAGCCAGATAGCAAAATTCCAAACCAGCAGTGCCTTCAACCCTATTCAAGGATTACAGTCTGAAAGCAAAGAGTGCTGTAAATGTGTGACAGGAGCAAAGTACATATAAATCATACCCCCAGCATTCCCCATAAGCCCCTCAGACCTTCACATGGTAAGCATCCCAACATAAGCACAAAGTTTTAAAGCCAGAATGTATACGTGCATTTAGCTGAACACACTTAACAGCCTTCCCATGATCAGGAGCCCTGACAAAGCAGTGCTTTGAATCATAAGATCTCTGTTATTGCAATAGATTCCGTGTAAGCTTTGTGCTCATGCCATAAACATAATATTCTAACTACCTCTGGGTAGTGTGGGTGGCATATAAATTGAATAAAATAAAATAAAATAAAAGATAGATAGATAGATAGATAGATAGATAGATAGATAGATAGATAAATAGATAGATAGATAGAATGTGCCTTTTTTGTCCCAATTAAGTTCCCCAAAGGAGATCTATCTCCAGGTTTTTACCTTACTCCAGGATCAGACAATGAGAGTGCTTCCTATAGTCACTGTATAGGTCCATTTCAACATATCCCTTTAAACTTAATATTTTCAAATAGTAATTGCTGACGCATGCTAAGGAGTATAGGGGACATAGAAGTTGAAGAGCAAAAACCATGATGGAATGGTAGTCCCCCAGCTGCACCCTCTGGGGAATGTTTTTTAAGCAGGATCAGAGCCATGATTAAACAGTTCTTCTTCATAGTATCTGTGGATCTCACAAATGGATTTGTGCCTCTGCAGAGGCATACTTCAGAATATTCTAGAACTGACCTCCCCTTCCCATATCTTGGAGGTAGCCCCCCCCCTTCTCTCTGTGCATATCTAGTGTACTCTGGCATATTCTCCACAATTCCTTTTGGTCCACCAGAGTGTTAACATCCATGGTAGTACTAAAAACCTCTGAAAGGTACAGGGCAAGTCATCAAGGTGAAACTTTCAGCATAAGCAGCTAGGGAGGTTGTTGCTTGCAAAACCTGAGTACAGCTGAGGTTGAAATAGATCTAAATAATCTGTTTCTTCCAAATGTACCTGGAATTAAGAGACCCTTACATGCTGTTAGTACTTGGTCCCCAAAGGATAACAGGCAACAGTTGTTCAAGATATTAGGCTCCAGGGTGCTGTTTTTTTTAAAGAGTGTATGAACCAGTGTCTGCTTTAGGGCTAGGGGAACCACATCCTCCCTGAGAAATGCATTATCTTCTTCTCTGTCATCCCAAACTACAAGCTTATAAAATTGGGCAGATTTTAATTAACCATGAAAGCCTTCGTTAAGAGTATACAAGGTAGGTTTATTACTCTCAGCTAGCAGAAAGATATCCATAAAAAGTCCAACTGGATGGAAGAATAGCTACATTTATTTTTGTCTCAGATACAGTGGTAAGTCAGAAAAGATAGGAACAGTTTTATCTGCAAAATGTATTGCAGATGTGCCACAGTGAAGCTGCTGTGGGCTCTCCATTAGATGTCTCTCAGGACCGAAGTAAGGAATATTCACTTAGAAAAATTCCAAGAGCAAGCCCCATAGGCACTGGTGACAGAGGAATTGTTGTTTAGTCATTACCGTAAGTCGTGTCCGACTCTTCGTGACCCCATGGACCAGAACACGCCAGGCCCTCCTGCCTTCCACTGCTTGAGTTTGGTCAAATTCATCTTGGTAGCTTCAGTGACACTGTTCAACCATCTCATCCTCTGTCATCCCTTCTCGCCTTCACACTTTCCCAACATCAGGTCTTTTCCAGGGAGTCTTCTCTTCTCATCAGATGGCCAAAGATGGACAGAGGAATACACATTCTTAATTGCCATCACTGCCTCACAGTAGCCTCTAAGACAAGCTCAAGCTTGTATTTTGTTGGGCTTGCTGTAAGCCTGATATTTTAGTTGTTGATCCCTTTACACCATTTTATGTGGTTTATCAGTATATGAAGAATCTTAATGAGCTTTTCAGGTATAGTGGACCAATCTGAAAGCAGTCATTGTTTATCTCCTCATTCCAAAGAAGCATCCAAGGCTCAGCAGGACCAATTATATAGGTGATTAAATGCCTCAGAGACAATGGGGAAACAGCATGACCCATATGTTTCTGAAGACATCGCTTCTACCATCCCTGAAGAAATTTGAAGCAAGCAGCCACCACAAAGAAATCAAACAACTCTGCTCAAAAAGGGAGTCAAAACTGGCTGCCCTCTCTACACATCATCAAATCAAAGCACCAATTCATATATGTACTCTGAGATACATCCAGCTGGGTATTGTAGTTTGAAATGGGCAGTAGGTGTTATGGAGACTTAAAAAATCCTGACCCACATTAGAAAATGCAGCCTTGGTATAAATAATATATTTGCTCAAGATAATGAGCCAAGGGGATCGTAATAGCATGCCCAAGAAGATTTCTCTTAAGTGAGTCAGATAGAGTATTGTGCAATGTTGTGAATGGTACATTAGTACCATTCAGTTAATACCATTCAGTGGTACATTTCAATTCTAGTAATAGGTACAGATGCTCAATAATGCCTGAGTCTTTTGAGTCTGAGTGGAGTACATGGAATGGGAGAGTAAATCTAAATGGCCTATAGCAGTACAGCCCAACCAGATCTTTAAAAAGCAACACAGAAGCTATTTTTGTTGTTCTTACTGTGGATAATAAATATCCAGCACTTTTAATAGCCCCTAAATTATTCCTCTAAATTACAATACAGTATTCTTAGTTAATCTCATCTTACCAAAGTGACTTTTTATCCTCACATTTTACCAGAGCAAGATAGTCCAGTCCAGTGGTTCTTAACCTTTTTGAAAGAAACGCCCCCTTGAGCCATTGAGGAAGTTATCATCGCCCCCCTCCCCACGGTGATATCTTATTTATTTATTTATTTATTTATTTATTTATTTATTTATTTATTTATTTATTTATTACACTTTGAGGAAGTTATCATCGCCCCCCTCCCTGAGGTGATGATATCTTACCTACCTACCTACCTACCTACCTACCTACCTACCTACCTACCTACCTACCTAGTCTCCCTCCCCACCCGGGTGCGAGGCAGCGCTTCACGGGGTGAGGATGAGGACCCAAGAGACCCTTTCCTTCCGCTCGATCCACACTCAGTGCTCACCTAAAGGAGAAAGGCGAGACGTGGCAGGTAGAAAGAGCTGGATCATCTGGCGGCAGCAGCAGCCAGCACTGCGGCTGCAGTCGCCTTCACAGGTTTGGCTCACTCCAGCCACCCCCTACCGCCCCCCTTCTGTTCTATTGCCCCCCCACTGCCCCTTTTCATTCTACTGCCCCCCTGAAAAATGAAATCACCCCCTGGGGGGCATTATCGCCCATGTTAAGAACCACTGGTCCAGTCCATAGGTTCTTCAGATCAGACTAGGATCCTTGGAATAACATAGAAGTGACCATAAGCATATCTCTTAGCCTCAGGAAGTGCTAGAATCCTTGGAGCAAGTGCATTCCAGTTTTGGTGTGGGAGAGGGAGAAAGTCTCCTCACTTGGGCTAAAGTTCTTGATTATAGCTTCCATAGATGGCTGAGTATGGCTGTTATTCCTTCAAAGGTAGGAAAAAGCAGAGCGAGGACCAATGCATTATCTTTTTTTGAAATCATGTAGAAATAAAAAAGTTTGGAGATACAAATTTTGAATGGAGGGGGAGAGGAGGCAAAATCTAAGGGTACTCCAAAAACTGACATTCTTCTGCTGATTTGTTCCACAGAGAAAAAAAGATTATGAAATTGAGCTCTTGCGTTTCCTGGAGGTGAGTATGATCCATTATTTTCTGCCAAACTGATGGACATGCATAAATATTTCCAATTAAAATTAATGGAGCTAACAGATAGTTGTGTTTGACATTAAAATCACTGATTTGTGGCCCTTCTTGAGCCCTTCTTTATCTAAAAACCTAGAGTTTAAATCAGGAACTAATGTATGAGGACTTCATAAAAGCTCACATTAAACTATAGCAGATAGTCTTTAAGATGCCACAATGTATTAGTCTCTTGTTTTTCTGTTTTTGTTTGTTTTTATCTGATATATTGAGGAAATATGTGTCTCTTTTCCCGCCTCCCCACCACAGTATCACATTCTGTAGGTAATGAAATTTCTGAATGGTCTTCACAGGCAGCTTCCTTATTCCTTTGGAGGGGAAGGGAGGGAGACAGAGGGGAAAAGGTAGTGCAGGTATTGGGCTGTTCGTGCATCTTACTCTTAGAAAGCAAAGCTTCTCAGGGCAGGTGAGTAGCCTTGTTCTGCTCCACTTAACGTTTTCTCACTGATATATTTTGAAGATACGTCCATGTTTTTTGCAAATTAATTGACTAGATAGGCACAAGTCAAGAAAAAAAAACATGAAATAAAACAATGTTTAGAAGGTCATGGATTATTTTTCTTATTTTTCCCCCCCAAAACTTTAGAGCTTACCTGAAGAAGAACAGCAGAGGGTTCTGGGAGAAGAGAAAATGCTGGGAGTAAACAAAAAAGGTGCTACCAGCCCTGCCTCTAAGAAGTCTTCACCAGATGCTGCCAAGGTGAGTGGCACATACCCCTCTAGGGGTAAAGGCAGTGAATGGGATTCATTCTGGGTGTATGCAGTCTTGTGTTTCAGCAGAAGGATGAATCCATCTAAACCAGCCTCAAGACTTCATTTAGAGTGGCTGCTGGGTTTGCTTTGGAAATTCTAGTAAAGATGATCTAATAATCTGCCTTATAATCAAGTAACTAATTGGTTAATAGAAATTTACATATGTCCCCAGATCCAGTACAGGAACTTTTTGAGATTTTGGAGGAAATGTAACATAATTGACAGTTTAATAAGTTACCACTCTCATTGCTATATATAAATAACCATCTTTTTTTTCCTTTTCATTCACTTCTCATTGTAGTGATGTAGCTGAACCAAAATAGTCTTAAAATATAAACAAGCTTCTAATGTGAAGCTCCACCAGTTAAAATTTAATATTGCTGGTATAAATGGCTTCCCCCATTAAGCCATCAGCTAAACTGTTAGTTTATTAATTTATTGCTTGAAGCTTGCAGGCCCTAAAATAAGCCTCCCAGTTTTTCCACATTTCATTATTATGATTATCATTTGCCATTTTCCATATTGCATAAAAACAAAAAAACAAAAAGTTAAACCCAGAGTTCCACAACCACGAGTCCCTTTGTGCTCTTTAACAGGGAGGTTCTGAGAAACCAAAACGGCCCGTTTCTGCTATGTTTATCTTCTCGGAGGAGAAACGCAAGCAGCTGCAGGAGGAGCGACCTGAACTGTCGGAGAATGAACTGACCCGGCTGCTGGCACGGATGTGGAATGATCTTTCAGAGAAAAAAAAGGTTGTTTAATCAATAATGTGTATTCTCCTTACCATATTTTTGTGGGGGAGGTGTAGGGGAGCATGTATTCCTGGGTATCTCAAAGTCAGCTGGATTTTTCCCCCCCTGTTGACTTCAGTGAAGCCAGGATCTTGACGCTCTCCCTCACCTTTAAAAAAGAGAAGAAATAAAATAGAGTTTAAAAAAAAAACTAGAAACCTATAGAAGGTTCTGGAACATTGCAGAACCGCTGGTTCTCTCCAGAAGGCACCAAGCAGCTCCGTCACAGTCTGGGCGCTCCTGCCATTCCATCTTGCGTTACCTCTGCTCATTTATGCCCCAGGTTTGGGTGGGATAGGGGAAGCCATCCGTCAATGGTGTCTTCATCTGATACGGACATGGATGAAATCAGAGCCCCACTGTGCGTTCTGTAGTAGCCACCACCCAGTGCATCTGTGAATCTTGCACAGAGTCAAAGGGAAGAAGTCTTGAGGCTTGGTTTTGAAAGCCTGAGAATGAAGGTGTGGTGGCCTCTCTGAGGACTTAGTTGGACACACTGTGATTCGGGTGAATGATTGTTAGGGAAAGAAGTTCCATTTGAATGGGGTAGGGTGGTTTGGGCACAAGCATTAGAGGCTGGCACTGAATAAGGAATCTTGTATCTTACCGTGGAGGGTATCCTATCATGTGGGATGTAACAACAACTACTCTGAAGCTGAAGAGGACTCTACCATATGTTCCCAATCAGTTGGAAATCCCAAACTGCTGTTTTTATCCTGTCTTAGCACTTTCTGATTGCTCATATCAGATTATGATATGTGGCCAACTTGATTTCAGTCCTTTTCCCAGAGTTTTCTATGTACAGAATACTTAGAAGTAGTCTGTCTTAGACCATATAGCTTACGGAGGACCACGTACCGTATCTCTTTTTCTGCAAGCCATGGTGGGGAATAGAACTCCCATCCCCTGCATCCGTGTTCACTGAGCTATCGTGTAGGATATAAATAAACTCAGCCAGCTGCATGGTCACATACTGTGAGAGGTTACCATGTGGCACCCTATTTTCACACAGTTTTTAGAAAATTTAGTTTAGAAGGGAGTATAAACAAAGGAGCATGAGCTAGACATGTAGCAAAGACCTATGTTGAAGTAACATTTCCCCAAACATATATATCACTCTCTATTTTAATTTTACCTCTTAAGTACAGAGCCTGAAAATACACTATTTTTTTATTTTGAAGGAAGAGAAACTGAACAGAAATTTAGATCCTTAAGAATCGAAACATGATTAGATCAAGCCACCTTTTTTTCTGCCTTCCTCAGAAATCCAGCATTGACAATGAAGAGCATGGGTTATTTTTGAATTGCTGATCTGCTAACATGCTCTGTATTTGACAAAATATGTATGTATGATTCCAATTCTAAGCCAACACGTAATCTATGCATGTGAGAAACTATGTGTGTTGTTTTTTTATGTGAGCTTCTGGTTGACAGGTTGAAACCTTGCTTTAGCTGTTCTCTGTACAGGAGAGATTTCTACTTAAGGGAGAAACCTCCAAGTTCTAAAGAGAACACCTTCAGTCCTGAACCACTAGTGATGTCTCTCTGTGAAGGAGAGATCCTTCACAGGAAATGCAATGTTTATATCTACAAGATTGCTCCAATTTGGTGTTTGTATGTCTAGGCAGGACTGTGTTAAGTAAAAAGTTTGCTCCTGCACTGTCATTACTGTAAAGGAAAGAAAATTTAGAGACAGGAAAGGTGTTTTTTGAGTGAAAACAATCAAGAATGTTTGTTAAATTAAGCTAAATTTTCAAAGCATTTTTTTTAAAAAGGGAGTTTAATATGTTGGATAACAAAATGCAACGCCAACCTTTACCCTGTGGAAAAATTAAAAATAATAGAAGATAGGTCAGAATACATGTGTTGTTTAAGTGTCAAATTCCTCTTTTTGGCTTATTTTGTTTTATTTCCATATATGCTTGCACAGACTAATACAGCTACCCCTTCTAAAACTATAACTCTTTTTGGCTCTTACTTTAGCTTTGGGCTTTCTCAGAAAACTAATGAAGCTGCAGAAGATTTTCATTTATACATTTGACATATTATATGCCCAAATTGTGCAATAGCTGGTTAATAAATTAATTTATTTGCTTGTTTGTTTATTATTAATTTCTTTGATTTATATACCACCCAATTAGTGCAGTGCTCTATTCTGGGTGGTTTACAACCCAATAATAAAGCTGTTAATACATAAAAATTCACTTGGGTTCTTTAAGTTAAAAAAACACTGACTTCAAAAAAGCACTATAGGACTTTATATATGTTACTTTGTATAGGTGCACGATCACTCTGTCAAGGTCTCCATGTATTGTGGCCCTGCTCTCATTCTTCAGCTCATCTCACTTATTGAACATGAATATAGTAAGACCAGACAATAGGCCTTTCTAATCTAGCATTCTTTTCACACAGCGGCTGAGTGGTTCTTAACCTTTGTTACTCAGGTGTTTTTGAACTGCAACTCCCAGAAACCCCGGCCAGCAGAGGTGATGGTGAAGGCTTCTGGGAGTTGCAGTCCAAAAACATCTGAGTAACAGGTTAAGAACCAGGATGCCTAAAGGGAAACATACGAAAGGACATGATTGCAGTAGTATTCTGTGCTGTTGTCCAGAGAAAATGTTAAGCAGGGCCTGATTAGATAGGGAGTTCTAATCCACAGGCTTCTTGAGTAAGAAGCTCTTTAGACATTACTAATTTTATGTACAGTCTTCATCTATGCCCAGAAGCAAATAAGTAGGCATACAACTGATACAATCTTTTCTTACTGTCCACGTGTCTCCTGAAATTTTCCTAAGGTATTTTTTTGCTCATGTTATGATGTCTGGAGTGGAAGAAGTGAAAGGAAGTAGGGACTAAATCCCTGTTTCAACCAAGGGATTTTTCCAGTTTAATTTTGAATGTGCAGTTTCAATTAATGTGACCTTTTGTTTACAAGTTACATTGTTTAGGTTGTGCAATTTTAGTTTCACTGTTAGTGAATTTGGAGGTGTTGGGTTTTCTTTTTTAAAAAAAGGATTGAGCTGCATGTACATTTTACGACAGTGCTTTACTTCACTGTGTATCTGTCTTCCTCAGAATCTGTGGCACTTCATAGGAAGAAGCAATGCTTCTTCAGGTCGTGTTCTTGGTCCCCTGATTGGAGTGAATTTGGAGGTGTTGGGTTTTTTTTTTAAAGGATTGAGCTGCATGTACATTTTACGACAGTGCTTTACTTCACTGTGTATCTGTCTTCCTCAGAATCTGTGGCACTTCATAGGAAGAAGCAATGCTTCTTCAGGTCGTGTTCTTGGTCCCCTGATTGGCTCCCAGTGAAGGAGATGGGTTGGGAAGATTGTATTGGATTGCAGCTTTGTTGACTGTTCTGGGAAATCAAACAGTCTTCTGCTTCTAATAAAGTAATAATCTGTCAGGAAGTCCTATTTTATCTTCACTTGTCTGCAGCTTTGCTGTACAGGATTCTTGAGACATTTTGGAGGGTGTAAAGACAACTTGTGGAGAAACTGGCTAGATTGAAGCCCTGTTGTCCCCCTGTGTAAACTGAATGTGTGCCCTGCAAAATAGCATTTGCATGTAATAAAGAGGGGCTGTGGTTAGCAGTCATCATCAGCCACTGGCAGCTTTATCACTGAAGAATTCCAGGAAGCTTCTGCTGGAACTCCCAAGTTTCTCCCTGACATAGTGTAGGGTAGAGAAATACTGATTTCAGTCAATCAAAAAAAGTTTTTCCATGCACCAGTGAATCGTAGTTAATTGCAAGAGATATGATTGTCAATCCTGCTTCTTCCCTTAGGCCAAGTACAAAGCTCGGGAGGCTGCCATGAAAGCTCAGACAGAGAAGAAACATAGTTCTGACAAGGAGGATCGTGGCAAACTTCCTGAGTCACCCAAAACTGCTGAAGAGATCTGGCAACAAAGTGTGATTGGAGATTATCTTGCCCGCTTTAAGGTAAAGTGGAACAGTGGAGAAGGCAAAAGTGGCATTGGGACGGAATAATAGAATCCCTGCCCCAAACTTTTTTCTTTTTCTGAGCAAGCTGATTCTGCCTTTGTGCAGATATCCAGGATATACCGCAGATGATACACATAATTCTGCTGCCTCGTACAAACTGAGTCCGGACGTTGCAGAGTGGAAAGCAGTGATAATGACTGCAGGTAGCTCTGAGCTGCCAAAAGTTGGTGGCAAGCCATTTCAAGCAGAATGGTTTTGTTTTGTAGAGACAAGCAGTGGACTTTTATGAGACCACTGTGACAATGGAAGGGGTGGCTCTCCTTGAAAAAAAGGTATTATTCTCTGTAGATAAAAAGAGCTACACAGTGGGCATCCAAAATGTGAAGGGCACAGTCCCTATTATGCTGAACGCTGGGGAAGCATAAGGCTTGTGCAAGGTAGAAGTCCATTTCAAGCTTACGTTGGAAAGCTGTATGTGGGCAAAGGGGAGCCTTCTGTGGCTATAGCTATGTAGGCACAGAAAAGGGGTGGCTTATGTCATGAAGCTCAGGGTCCATGTGATCTCTTGGTGAAAGATTGTGGCAGGGAGCACAGAGGTGCATGTTGTTCTGTTTGCTGGCTCACGTACAGAATTAGATAAAGGACCACTGCTGGGCAAATTTGAAAGGAAAAAATGAATCCACTTGCTGGACGTGTGATTCTGGATGCAAGGCTAGGTATTGGATAAGCCCTCCATAGTAGTCTGGAAGATCCTAAGAGAAGATCCTCCAGTCAGTTAGTTTGAGGAGGTGTGAACATTGTTGGAAAGGATTTGGGGCAAGAGGTCCTGTGAGTAGGTGCAAGAATTGGTCATTCATAAGATGAAGAAAACGGTAGGTGACATAAAGATGTGGAATTTAGAAGAATTCTGATGAGGTATATATATGCCCTACCCCAAAAATAAGCCCCAGTTAAGTGAAACTCCTTCCATCACCATTGTGCTGCAACCAGAAGAAGATGAAATGACTGTATTTGAATAAAAGTAGATTGTTGTACATGAAGAAAGGAAAATATCCCCTGAAAATAACCCCCAATGAGTTTTTTGGAGCAAAAATTAATATAAAACCCTGTCTTATTTTTGGGGAAATACGGTAGGCACTTTGATGAGGATGATATTGGTGGGATGAGGAATCTCATGGATTGTTTATTCTATATGAGCTTTAAAATAACAAATTTGGCATTCTATGCAAGCTGTAATAGCCCATAGATAAGGCCTATGATAGGGAGGTAAGAGATATCTAGTAAGATGTATATATGTATATAGATGCTTTTAGTGCTTTGGTGTTTTTAGTGTTTTTAATGCTTTTATATTGTTCTTATGTTCTTATGTATCTTACTTTTGCTGGTCAATGACCGCAATAAACATTTATTATTATTTATTCTGGACACATAAGAGGAAAACTGTTTTGCAACAGGCTCATAGAAAGATGGGCAGAGTGAAGGACAAGTGGAGTTGGTCTCTTGAGCCCAAGTAGGTGTTAGGTTTGAACCAACTGGAAGGTTGCTAAAAATTGTGAACTAGAACCTATATGATACTTCATATAGGTAGAAGCATTGCACATGGTAGAAGCACTGCATATTAATTAATAGAGAATTGGGACTTTGTAGAGGGGACAGAGTGCTGTAAGATGGGATTTGTCTTACTTGGCATAGCAGCTAAGCAGAGTGAACAAAATGAGTATAACATAAGTGATCTTAGTTTCTAATGCAGCCAGTCATCTTTATAGAAGAAGGCTTGAGTTTCCTTTCTAAGAAAGTTTGTCATCAAAAAATACTGTGTGTTTTATTAAGATTGATCATGCTATGGACAAGCTAGAACAAATGGAAATGTAACGGTTATTAGTAGCAGATTTCCAACAGTGACGTGAGAGAACCTGTGGTGTGGACAGAGAGACGCATGAACATGGATCTCCTTCACGATGTGCAGTTAAAGCAGAGTCTAGCTTAAAGCAGTGTTGCTGAGGGATATCATAGAAAAGAGCATTGGAGTAGTTGTGTTTTGTTACATTCCTGGAAATTAGGAAAGAAGGGTGTAGTTTTTTGTGAGGCATGTGCTAGTGCAGAAGTGTATTTGTATACCTTTTTTTGTGCAGGAGCATATGAAGGAAGGGATATGATTGCAAATACCAAGTGTTGCTCCCGAACTGTTTTGCACAGCTGCAGAACCTGTATATGTGACTGTACAAAATGGGTGTTAGGGACTGCTTTGGTTTATGGGCCAAAGAGATTCCAGCAAGAATACCAGGAGTCAAATCCCAAGATGCATAGGGGCACTCTGCTGTTGACAAGTATCTTCCAGTGTGGTTGTCCAAGCCCCATTTACATTGTTTCACTGTCTTTCATATACTACAGTATATGCATTATCTACTGTAGTACAAACATACACATATGGATGCTTCTACATTACTCATATGCCTCTCTCCTCTTACGGCTGTCAAGTGTTAAAAATCCTACATTAGCACCAGAGTAAGATAGAAATGATTTTTGTAGCAGAAGAGAGTTGTGTGTTTTTGGAGGGGGGGTGCGTTTACACTGCTAGAGTGCCAAAGGCTGATCTATTTCTTTCCCAACTGCAGTCCTCTGCTGTCCTAAAATGCCCTACCGGGTTGCTGCTTAAAAGCCCCAGTGAGGCTTTTAAACACACCAGCAAGGCCTTTTTCTTTTTAAAGCCTCACTGCATTGTAGAAGGGAGGAGAGGAAATCAGTTGTTGCTCACCATTCAGTGGGAGATGAGCTTTTCAGTGGGGAAGCTGTTGGCTTTGATCAGGTCCTCTTGTAAACTGATTCTGATCCACAAGCCAGCCACTTTCTATCCCCAGTACAGATTATCATTTTATGAGTATCTCTTACAAGTGCTGTTAAAGGGATGGGATTTGGTGTACATTTTTGTCTCAGATAGTAAGAGGCGTGAAAATGGGATGTAGTCACAGAGCAGGCATACAACTGTGAATTCTGTACTTAATGGCATTCATAAACTAGAGCAATACTTTATTTTCTGCCTCAGAATGACAGGGGGAAAGCACTGAAAGCCATGGAAGCCACCTGGAATAACATGGAGAAAAAGGAGAAGCTGATGTGGATTAAGAAAGCAGCAGAAGATCAGAAACGATATGAGGTTGGAAATTTGTATTATTTATTTTTATTCTGGCTTGTCTACAATCCATCAGTGTGAGGAGATATGCAGGCCAATGTGTTAGCTGTGTAAAGATTAGGTGTCATGTATACAGAATGCTAGATTTTGCATTTTCCTTTGCATGTTATTTGGATAATCTGCCTAATATACAGTGGTGCCCCGCATAGCGAGGTTAATCCGTTCCGGATTAACCGTCGCTATGGGGAAACATTGCAATACGGAATGGAAAACGCCATAGAAACGCATTAAACTTAGTTTAATGCGTTCCTATGGCTCTTAAACTCACTGTTCTGCGAAGTTTCTCCATAGCGCCGCCATTTTCACACCCTCGGTAAGCGAGGGCAGGGTGCAAAAATGGTGCGGGCAGCCATTTTCTGCACCCAGCGGCCATTTTGGAACCGCCAATCAGCTGTTCCCAAAATGGCCGCCGGGTGCAGAAATGATTGCAATGCGATGTTTAGCCTATCTAAACATCGCAATGCGATCGCATTAGCAACCGCAAAAAATGGGTCGCTATGCGGATTCATCATTAAACGGTGCGCTCGTTAAGCGAGGCACCACTGTATATTCTTTTTCATGGCCTCTGTGAATTCACACATATGGGTATTGTCTGTGCCTGTGCTGACTCTCTCAGAAGATTCTAGAGCTAAAAGTAACAATTTTATGGTGTGATCCTCCACGAGGTATACGCTCCTCCCACCCACCATCTTCCCCAGTTCCTTTTTTCCGCCGAGCTGAACGGTTCTCAGGAAAGATTGAGCGCTTCGCTTTTTGTCTTCTGGCTATTTTTCTAGGCTCCTTTGAGCTTTTTGTTTGCTTATCTTTACTTTAATTGCCTATTTAGTGATCCTCCGCGTCTTTTGTTTGCCTAATCGGCTTCCCCCGGTTTTTATTCCCCTCTCTTTCCCCCTTCCCTTTCCCCCCCCCC